AAATTAAATTATTTTCTATACTTACATGCAACGGAACTTTTTTACTTTCTGTTACAATAGTTTGCCAATAAGACCATAAGAAAGTAGATAAAAATATATGATAACCCACTAGGTAACACACTAAAAAAATCAATATTAAAAAAATTTAAAAAAAAATTAAATACGTTAGTGTGCAGCTATAAAATAAAATAAAATAATGATTACCCCGTTCAATGTGTGAATCAACGGTGTTTGAAAAAAAAAAAAAAAAAAAAAAAATCAGAAATTAAATTTTAGTATTTAAAAATCATTCAAAAAAAAAATAAAAAACCAAACTTAACGTAAAAAACGTTAAAATTTGATTAAAACAAAAATTTAGGTTGGCTGCCTGTAATTTTCTGCTAGATGTCGTTCTCAGTTTTAAATTTTGAAGTCAAATGTTACTGTTTTGTCCAACTTGTGCCAATGTTTTAGGAGTAGAAGAAGGTGAACGTTCTTTAAGATTTGCTTGTCACACTTGTCCTTACATATTTAACATAGCTCGCAAAGTTAGTAGTCGTTATTATCCACGTCTCAAGGTAAACATTTCTAAATTCCGCTTCCGCGTGCACACTAATACATTTTATTAAAATTATGGTTTTTTTTTTTAAAGTTTACACTATTTATAATATTTATTTTTATTAATATTTTTAGGAAGTAGATGATGTTTTAGGAGGTTCAGCTGCTTGGGAAAATGTAGATTCAACAGAGGAAAGATGTCCTAAGTGCTCACATTCAAGAGCTTATTTTATGCAAATTCAAACAAGATCTGCAGATGAACCCATGACTACATTTTATAAATGTTGTAATCCGGAATGCGGACATAGATGGCGAGATTAAAAACAAAAGCTATCATAATGTTTTTTTCTAGAAAATATCAACACACTAGCAATGTGAATAACCCCTCGATAATTTCAATTTTAGAGGTATCAGCTGCATCCACGGCAGCCAATTTACTTTTCGAAGGGAAAGTAATAGCAATACCTACAGATACAATTTATGGTATTGCTGCTTCTACTCAAAACAATTATGGACTAAAAAAATTATATGAAATAAAAAAAAGAGATTTAAACAAACCCCTGTCTATTTGTGTCAGCGACACATCAGAAATAAAATTATGGGGAGAAACATCTCATTTAAATGAGAGATTACTGGAAGATTTGTTACCAGGACCTGTAACAATTGTTTTAAAAAGAAAAGGCCTTTTAAATTCATTTGTAAATCCAAACACAGATTTAATAGGTATCAGAATACCAAATACTAATTTTGTTCAGGCTTTAAGTAGATTATGTACAGTTCCAATAGCTTTAACCAGTGCTAATATAAGCTTTGAACAAAGTCCAATAGAAATAAATGATTTTATTCATCTATGGCCAAAACTTGATGCTATTTTTGATGGAGGTGTTATCAGTAACTCACCATTACAAAGAGCTGGTTCTACTGTTGTGGATTTAAGTGAACCTGGACATTATAATATTATTCGTGAAGGAAGTGCCTTGAAAGATACATTAGCAACATTGGCTAAATTTAATTTAAAAGTAAAAGTAAAACATTAGTAAATTTAATATAAATTCTGAATTAAATTCAGGAAAATGTATGTTATTTTAAAATAAAACATTTTAAAATATTTATACGTGTATGTCATTTTATATTTTCTTTCCTACCAGTATAAACAAAAAATTTTTTAAATTAAATTAATGATGAAATTCTTATATAACTTGAAGTATTTATATTAAAATAAATTTGCACTGCTTCATCAATTCAAATGTCAATATATTCAATTCAATATCTATTTATTGGATTATACTTTTAAGAACTAGAATTTAACTTAGTTTTAAAATACCAAAAAATTTCAAATATTTTTTCTTTAAATAGATAGGAATATTTTAAACTTTTTATTACTTACGGATGCAAAGTTGTATTGTGTACGCGTAGTAAGACCACCCAATTACCGCACTGAGGAAAAGAACTGGTAAATATTTAACGGCACGTATGCAAAATCCACATCTAACATTTGCTGCAGGTTGGCTTCCTTCGCCTGCAGCCATTAGAAAACAACTACTGCACTACACACATCACAATCGTAAGGTATTGTAATTGAAGGTAATAATTAAGCTTTTTTTAAAAATGTTTTTATACTTTGTAAGTTTCATTTTAGCCAACATAAACAAAATATTTTTTTTCTAATGACACGACAAAAAAATGTATATGATAATATGTTAATATAAAAAAAAAAAAAACAACGTACAAAAAGCAAGACAATTAAACTTAATAAAAAAAAAAATAATAATAAAAAATAACAAAACCAAGCAAATATAAAAAGTAAAAAAAAAAACAATAATTAACGAATTCCATCGTTAGTAATTTTAAACTTAACAAACATTTGAGGAAGATCAATGCTTTTGGTAAGATAAGCTACATTTTCTTTCAAAATTACTCGTTTATGTATGCAATGAGCGTGAACTTGGCCCAAGGCTGGTTTTACTACTGATCTACCCTTCTTTTCAAGTACAGTAGTAAGCTGATTAGTGAGGACAACAGCAAATTTGTATTTATTCGACAGATAATTAAGAGTTTGTAAAATAGACAAAGCTATTTTACCTCTTATTCCTGGTTCTTCAATGTCCACTATTAATGGTGTACTAAAACTATCTATAACTAAAAGTTTAATACTGTTTTCTTTTCTCTGAAAATATTCACCCAAATTTTCAATGACTTTTTGCAAATTTGTCAGTTCGTGTATTTCCAAAATTTTAACTCCCTCTAGTACTTTTTCCAAAGTTAATTTTTTTTCTAAATCATTTTCAGAAGAAAAATTATCAGTAGAAATCATTTTATTAAAATGATCCACCGCAGCTTGAGATATTTGTCGCAACCTTTCTGCATGAAAACCAAAATCGGTTGATATAAAAATGGCTTCTCCTTCGGAACCTCCTAATTCTTTTGGTATTCGAACATCGACACAAAATTGAAGGCACATTTGTGTTTTACCACTACCAGGAGGTCCGCACAGTTCAGTTATTTGCCCTATTGAAAGACCTCCATTTAATAAATTAGTCAATCCCTTGTGAAATAAAAAAATAGGTTGCTCCTGATTTTTTAGAATCTCAGCTGCTGATTCGATTGGAGAAATATTTTGTAATTCCTCTATTTTATTTAAAATCTCATGATTCCTAAATATATCTTCCAGAGAGGGAGGTACTTTTCCATGACGACACAAATACTTTTCAATGTCTTCAATAAATGAAAATCCTAACGATTCAAGTTTTAATTTTGCCGAATCAGGCAAATTCAATATGGTAATAGGCCGCTCCATTTTACTTTAAACTAATCGAATTAAATTAAAAAGTTTTGAAAATTCTTCTGTTGAATATTTTTCAGTTTGAAATAATTTTTTTAAAATGTCTCTTTTCTCGGATTCTTTTTCTAATAAAGCCGTCTTTTTCCTAGCCGCTTTTATAATATTAATAGGAATTCCAGCCAATTTGGCAGCATTAAACCCGTAGGATTTTGGACAAGCACCATCTACAAATTTATACAAAAATGTAACGGTTTCCTCCGAGGGATCTTCTTCATCAGTTTCGACCATGCATGCCATATGGCCTAAAGTTACACTATCAGACTCTTTAAAATCGTCTATGAGAATGTGATAATGAGTTGAAAATAAAGTACGACATCCGCGATGGGAAAGTTCTTTCACGACTGAATAGGCAATTGCCGTGCCATCGTACGTAGACGTACCACGACCTAATTCATCGATTAAAGCGAGAGAAAATTGAGTGGCATTATTTAAAATCATTGATGCTTCGCTGAGTTCGACGTAAAAAGTACTTTCTCCCGCGAGTATATCATCCTTTGCTCCTATGCGAGTGAATATCCGATCAATCGGAATTAATTTACAAGTTTCCGCAGGAACTTTTAAACCCATTTGAGCCATAATTGTAATGAGACCCAATTGACGCATTAAAGTTGATTTACCACCCATGTTCGGACCAGTTAAGAGAACCAAGTTACTAAAGGAATTCGTTCCTAATTTTATATCATTAGGAATAAAACCGTTTTCGACGGAAAGACATGGATGCCTCCCATTTGCGATGTCAATAAATGGCTAAAAAAAATATAAAAAAAATAAACTTACAATTTTGTAATTCGGTTAAAAATAATAATAATAATAGCAATACAAACCTTATTATTTATTTGAGGCTCTGAAAATTCTGGTAAACACATTTCTCCCGGTTCTAAACTACAATATTCGGCCAATGACATTAGAGCATCAAGAAGTGATACGCATTGTATTGCCGTTATCCAATTTTCATACTTATCACTGAATTGAGCGAAAATTCTACGTCTCAAATCTTTTAGTATGTTACTCTTCATGTCTTCAGCTTGTTTAAGTCTTTGTAAAAAAGATTTCGTTTCCGGAGTCGTAAAACGTTTATATCCTTTCCGACAAGACGTAAACTCGTAATTTTCATTTGCTTTTTTGGCTTGCGAATCTGGGACTTCCAGTTGAAAACGATTTTTCTCCGTGCCGTAGTATTTAACCTATTCATTTTAAAAAATGATTATAATACTAAACCTTCTCCTTTGATTTTTATTATTATTTTTTTTTTAAACAAGTTTAACTTACAGATGTTTGAAAAAATTGACATTGTGATTTCAGATATTTATTTGACTCGATTTCTATACTTTTAATTTCCTTCACAACACTATCATACTCTGAATCCACGCCGGACGATACGGGAATAATGCATCCCTCTTTTTTTGCTAAATCGTGATCGAAAGCATTTTTAAAAAAATTTAAATCCTCGGACAAATCTTTGAATTTACCATTCGGAGAAAATAATAAACATTGTCGGAGTAATTCCGAATCCCATTCGAATTCATTTTGTAGAGTTTCAATTAAATTTTGTACTTTTTCAAAACCCGTTAAAGCAGAAAGAAAATCCAATATTTTACGCTTTGAATATAATTTGTCTTCGAAGAAAATAGCTCTACTATCCGGATGAGTTTTACTACGGATTGCATTTCCTTGAGTGTGAATTCTTATGTAAATTGATAAAAAAATTATTATTATTATGTTAAACTCGAAATAATAATAATAATAATAATAATGATAGGATGATTTACTTAAAAGGAAAATGAATACTAACTTTCCCAAAAGTCTTTCCAAATCTGGAACTCCCTTCAACATGGATTTAATTTTTTTTATAACACCTTTTTCTGAAAGCTCTATAATGGCTTTTTGACGCGAAGTAATTCCTGAAATGCTACACAATGGAGTACAAATCCACTGTCTCAATAATCTTTTACCCGTGAATGTACAACAGTGATCTAATTTTTCCAATAATGTTCCGTGTTTTTCCCCATTCGAATTATTTATAACTTCTAAATTTTCTAAAGTTAAACTATCCAAAATCTGAAAACATTTTTTGTTTTTGTTTCATATCATTATTTTCAATATTAATTTTAATTATAATATTTTAATATTACCATGTATCTTCCTAAATCTACTGACGTAGCCATGTTCGTTTCAAAATTAACTTCTGATATTTTATTAATCGGGGTGTAAATTTCAAATTTTTGCATGGCCAAAAGTTGTTGATCCAGAAAACATTGTTTTAAATACCAAACGCAAGCTCCCAATGCTTTGATAGCCAATTCACCATCCTCAGAAGGACTCAATCCTAGAGAATCAGCTGAAAAATTTTATGCTATATTAGTACATTTTAATAATAATAATAATAATAATAAATAAAATTTTTACAATTAAAGTCTGCATGTCACAACAACAAACTTTTTAAACTCATGATTTATTTACCAGGGTTAAGAAATTTTTTGATAGCGTCCGGCCATTTTGTTCCATTTTCATTTGGTTTGGTAAAATGATTTTCTTCAGCTAACGTACTTAAAGTTTTAGAAGCAGACCAAAATTCAGTTTCTGCAGCCAAAGGTTCTTGAAGGACAGAATTAAATGCACACTTTAATAACTGCATTGTCTTTCCGGATAATTGATACTTTTCATATAATATCTAATAATTATTTTAAATAAATTTATTTTTTAATTAAAGTAAATATATTTATTAATCAAACCTAAATATTTTAAAACAAAAAAAAAAAAAAACCTGAACAGGAGGATGATGTGATAAAACAATACGAAGACGAGACAAAAATTTATCATCATTGAACTGGCCTAAATGAAAAGTTCCAATTGATGTATCGATAAAGCAAACTCCAAATGCAATATTACCAGAATTATCAGTCTGAAATTTTTTTTATTTATTTTTTATAAACAAAATGTTTTTAAATAATGTAAAAAAGTAATTTCTATAAATATACCTTTTCAGCTAAAGCGAATAAATAATTTGTTTCATATTCTTTGGCTTCTCCATCGATAAAACTAAAAATTTGGGTACCTTTCGTTGTAACCTGACAAATTTCTCTATTTACAACTTTATCAAATTTTGTCACTTTCGATTGATGTTTACATCTTTCCGTCATCATTTCTGGAGTTTCAGTTTGTTCAACTCTTGCTACCTTATAACCTTTTTGTACTAAAATAGTGGAAAATCTTCCATATGATATTTCTGGAAATCCAGAATGAGCAAAATCTCCTTTCATAAATGTTAATGATAATTCATTGACACCTATTACTGCATCCATGTGATATAATTCATAAAATTTTCCAACTTTGAAAAATAATATACAATCATAATGATCTGATTTTAATTCCCACCACTGTCTGACAGCCTTTTACATAAAAATAGAAAAAAAAAAAATTTTTTTTTTTAAATGATAGAAATTTTTTTTTATTTTAAAACAAAATTTTACTTACCGGCGTGGCTTTGGCTTTGAAATCTTCTGGAACATAAAGAGTTTTTTTATCATAATCTGGATGATCCGGTCTTCTTTTTTTCTTATCCATTATGTTTTCAGGTTGAAGAAAAGAAAACTTTAAATGAGGCCAGTCATCTAACTTTTCTTCATCAGGTTTTTTAGAATTGCTAGTCAGTGCTTGCTGTAAAGAAAATTTAAATTGTTAAATTATGTTCAAATAATAAAGTTTAATATTTATCCAATTTACTTACATTTTTAAAATGTGACAATTTAGATTTTACCGAAGGAGTAGTGGGAGTTGAAGGTATAGTTGTATTAAAGCATGTTTTTTTACTTTTATTTTTAAATGACTGATTTCTTTTTCTTTTGACTCCTTTTGGTGGTGTTTCTTCAATTTCTTCTTCTTCTTCTTCCTTGCATATTTCACTTAAATTAGAATCATCTCCAGAGGATTCATCCTCATCTTCTGTTTCTTCTTTATCTAAAAGCATAAATAAAATGTGACATTAGGAAGTTTAAAGAAAAAAAGCTTTGGTAATTACAAGTAAGATTTCAAATTATAAATACATACCAGGTTTATATTCATCCTCGGAATTATCACTGTCAAATACAAAAACTTTTCTTTTCTTTTTGGGAGTTTTTTCATCACCATCAACATCACTATCCAAATCATTTTTATCAGTATCTAAAAAGTTTTCTATTAATTAGGTTAGGTATTTTAAATTAAGTTTTAAAGTGTTATGATTTTCACGAAAGTAATAATTTCATTTTTAAACACATTTATAAATTTAATACCTTGCAATGAATCATCAAGCTTATTTTCCTCTGAAAAAGAATGATTGTTAAAATCAACTAACAAATTGGCTCTATCCTTAATATCAAGATGATATGCTTTGTCTGCTTGTACACATGCTTCTTTTAAATTTTCTTCATCTATTTTTTTACAATCTTTCGGATGCCTTTTATTAGAATTCAATGAGTATTTTTCAATATCTCTAGAAATTGTATTAAGAATGTTACATTATTTATAAAGAAAATAAAAAAATAAGAAAAAAATTATTACTTTTTTAAAACCCAAGCTCTGGTTGGTGGATTATCAAAAAATTGAACATGAACTTCGCCTCCTCTGATATGCTTTTTTGTTTTTGGATGCTGACATACCAAACTCGGCCACCAAGGATAACCCTCTAGTTTAGCCCAGACAAGTTCACATATTTCAAAATCTTAAAAAAAAAAAAATAAGAAACTCAAATAAATTTAACGTTTTTAATTACATTTAATAAAACTTTTTTTTAAATTTAAATTTTAAATCAGACTATCATGTCCAACACTAACCTTTTCCATTTTGTACTGGTTTTTTCGGCGTTTTAAAATTATCCGCCTTTTCTACACATTTTTGGTTTTGATTCTCCGATCTAGGAGAGGTAACTTTTTGAAAAAAATTTAATAATGTAGGCTGTTTGGCCATTGATAAATTTAAAACTATAAATTACTTAAAATAGACCGGCCATCCTTTTAATTTAGAGTACTATAAACTTTCCCTCTAAAAATGCGAGCGAATTTTTTCTAATGCCACGAATTGTTGTCATAAGGTACTCTACGACGAGCAAGACATAAAAAAGTTAAAAAATTATTTTATTCTAATCGATTTATATTAAAATGTCTCTTTGGTGCGAAAAATATCGCCCTTCTAATTTATCAAAATTAGATTATCATTTAGATCAGGCCAAGCAATTAAAGAATTTGGTAAGTTGTAATATATTAAAAAGCTTAAAACATTAAAGCATGTACGTATTCTTATAGATCTACCTTTTTCATTTTAGATTAACAAGGGAGATTTTCCTCACTTGCTAGTATACGGAACGCCAGGATCGGGTAAAAAAACTCGAATAATGTGTTTACTCAAAGAATTATATGGTCCCGGTGCTTGGAAGTTAAAAACTTGTCAGATGAACTTTACAACTCCTTCGAATAAAAAAATAGATATAATGACACTTAGTAGTAATTATCATATTGAAGTAAATCCATCAGATGTTGGAATTTATGATAGAGTTGTTATTACAGAGTTAGTTAAAAAAACAGCCTCTACCTATCAGCTTAATTCATCAAAGCAAAAGAGTTTTAAAAGTAAATGAAATATTTTGACAAAACCACAGAAAATTTAAAATTTTTCTTTATGTTTAAAATTCATCATCATTATTATTATTATGTTAAAAATTATCAAAACTAATTAATGTAAATTTTTTAGTTTTACTTTTACAAGGGATTGATGAATTAACAGCTGATGCCCAGCATGCTCTTAGAAAAACAATGGAAAATTACAATGTGACATGTCGTTTAATTCTTTGTGGCAATTCTATTTCGAATATAATTCCTGCTATTAAAAGTCGTTGTCTTCATATTAGAATACCAGCTCCCAGTTATGAAGACATATGTAAAATATTATTATTTATTTGCAAAAAAGAAGGAATTCAATTGCCTGAAACTTTAGCATATAACATAGCTAGAAAAAGTGACAGAAATTTAAGAAGGGCAATTTTAATGTGCGAAGCATGTAGAGTGCAACAGTATGTTTAAAATTACTTTCAAATGTGATTCTCATTTAATCAAATCATTTTTTAAAAATTTCTTTTTTTTTTTAATGCAGATTTCCCTTAACAGAAAATCAAGAAGTTGTTGATTTAGATTGGCAAATTTTTTTAAAAGAAACTGCAAGATTAATTGTTGCCAAACAAACACCGGAAGCACTTTATGAAGCAAGAGGAAGAATTTATGAATTAATTGTACATAAGATTCCTCCTTCAGTAATTTTTAAAGTAAATTTTTTGTTTAAAAAAAAAAAATGCTTAATTTTAACTTTTTCTTTTTCATATCACTGTAAGTGAAAAACTTTAAGTAATTATTATTATTTATATTTTTTTTTTACAGGGATTATTAGTCGAGCTCGTTAAAAATTGTGATATGAATATTAAAATGGAAATAGCTGAGGCAGCAGCACATTATGAACATTTAATGCATAAAGGCTCTAAAGTTATTTTTCACATTGAAGCATTTATTGCTAAATTTATGTTAATTTATTCTAAATATTTACAAAATTCAATGTCCGATTTATTTTAATTATCGTCACACATAATTCAATAAAATATTTATTTTTCACAATAAATTCTTTTTTCTTTTTTTTTTTTTTCTTTCTCCTTTAAAAGTAAAAAAAAAATTAGTAATAAAATTTTATTTGTTTTGGTTTTTCCCGATAAGAAAACAAATTATTTTTTTTTATGAAATCCGGTAAAAAAAAAATTAAATACGAGTTTGAAAACCGCGATAAATAAACAATTTACGTCGACCTTATTTTTTTTTACAAACAAAAAAAAAATTTGTTGTTGTTAATTATATTGTAAAGTATAAAAAAATTATATTTTTCTCTTGTTTTTTTTTTGTTTAAATAAAAGAATAAATCTTGTTGTGTCTGTGTGTTATTAATATTATTATTTATTTATTTTATGTATATTATTATTTTTATAATACATATATATCGTCGGAAAAATTTAAACTTGTAAAACAATATCGTTATAAAAAAAAACATTTTTATATATTAAAAAAATTCATTTTTAATAAGTCAATATAGTTTTTATGAAAAAAATTCTCGTTTGGAATTCATTTTACATAAATTTGAACAAGGAAAAAAAAATATAAATAATGGAAATTTTTATATCCTTTTTCCATTTAAAAAAAAAAAAACAAATTTAAATTATTAAATGACACTGGAATGATGAACGTCTCAAATATAATTTTTTTTTTTAACAGCCATCAACAAAATTTTAACGTTAATAATAATAATAATAATAATTTTTTAATATAAATAAATAACAAAAAATTGATGGAATGTTTTATTTTATTTTATTATGCTACTCTCAACTTATCCTTTTTCTATTCTATTCTATAAATCATTTCATAAAAAAAAAAAAAAAAAATGGTAAATGAAAAATAAAATAAAAAATTTTCTTATACTTAATACTACTAATACTATTTTTTTATTTAAATTCATTAAATTGACTTTAAGTGAAAAAAAATGCATCACCGATTAAAATGTTTCCCCCCTCCCCCCTCCCCCCTACGACCGTGGAAATATCAATTTTCATTGAAAATATTTTTATAAAAATACAAAAAAAAAAAAAAAAAAAAAACAAAAAACAAAACGAAAGGAAAAAGCAGAAGACAAAATATTACGACGTGTGTGAAATACGATGATTCTTTCAAAAATACAAACGTCTCTTTTTTTTTTTTTTTTTTTCTTGAAAACCGAGAGAGTATTAAATTATACTTATTATTATTATCATTATCATTATTATCATTTTCAGGTATTTTCAATTTTTACATGTGTCTTGTGTTTCCAAAATTGATTCCGCTTTGAGTGGCACCTTTGTTGCTACCATATTGAAGGCTTATTATTGAATTACCCGCTTTTAATTGTTCTTCGGTGAAATGACGTTCGTTCTTTTCAGCTTCTTTTGGTCCTATCGTCGGTTTCCCATATTTACCCATCTGCAATAATAATAATAATAATAATAATAATAATAATAATAATAATAATAATAATAATAATAATAATAATAATAATAATAATCGACGTTTTCGAATGATTTTTTTTTTCCTTTCGAAAGTTAATCGACACACACACGACGACCTCGAATGAGATTCTTATCGGTTCACACAACGTTCTTATCACCACCGTTCACACAACAAACCCACCACCGCCCACCACTCACCGCCATCTTGTTTTCTTCGTTTCCTATTTAAATTACAAAAAAAAAAAAAATAGAAAAAAAATCCAATTTTACCTTTCTTCCTAAAGATTGCAAACAGGTAACGACGGAATTAAGGTTTTGCCTTTCCCACAAATCGACCGTTTGAAATGTTTCTTGTTCAGGTACGCCCATTTTTCGTGCCGTTTCCAAAAAGTTGTTTATGTTTTCCATACATTTAAACGCTAATTTTCCTTCGTTTATTTTTTTCACCGATCCCGGTTCTATAGAATTGACCAATCTGGAAAATTATTTAAAAAAAAAAACCGTAAAATAAAATCATTATTCCTACTTTCCCCTCCCCTTCTCCCTCTCCCCTCATGCAACTCCCCCCCTTCGTTTTTTTTCTTTTTCCTCAACGTTATTTCAAATATAAATGTGACGTCATCAATTATTTAATATTTCATTTGCGCGTGCGAAGAACATCATTCTCATTTATGGCGCGAAGACAGAAAAAAATAAATAAATAAATAAAAAATTGCAAAATAATATTTTTTTTTTTTTTGCAAAATCGGGTAAATAATTAATAAATAATCTTGTTCAGGCATTTTTTTTTTTTTTTTTAACTCGAAAAAGAATGAATCGTTCCTTCCTTCTTTTAATTTTTTCTTGACGCATAAAAAAAATTACGCACACACACACACGATGGAAATGACTTTACGAAACCAGGATATGTCTTTCTATCACTTTTTTTTTTACCACAAACAACAAACAGACAAACGTGATAATGTCACTAACCTTACGGTATCATACAGATTAAAACAAAAAAAAAAAAGGAAATTACAATTAACCGTTGCGTAATGTACTACTTAAAAAAAAAAAGGGAACCGGAGTCGTGTCGTGGCACCAGATTTAGGTGGTTTATATATATTACTTGAGGCACTCATTATTTTCCCTCCTAATTGCATTTATAGTAGTATAGCCGAGGAATAAGTTTAGAAAAAGATGTATGCTTTTAAAAACTCATTTCATTTAAAAACTTCCTTCGAAGGAAAGATAGATAGATAGATAGATAGAAAGAGAGAGAGAGAAATATACATTTTCACTTCCTATCATCATTATTGCACGAGTCGTCGACGGAAATCTCTCTCTCTCTCTCTCTCTCTCTCTCTCTCTCTCTCTCTCTCTCTCTCTCTCTCTCTCTCTCTCTCTCTCTCTCTCTCTCTCTCTCTCTCTCTCTCTCTCTCTCTCTCTCTCTCTCTCTCTCTCTCTCTCTCTCTCTCTCTCTCTCTCTCTCTCTCTCTCTCTCTCTCTCTCTCTCTCTCTCTCTCTCTCTCTCTCTCTCTCTCTCTCTCTCTCTCTCTCTCTCTCTCTCTCTCTCTCTCTCTCTCTCTCTCTCGACATTATATTTATCGAAAGAACGTGTCATCCCATTTCGAATTTCGATATAAAAATCTCTCGATCGATATTTTTTCGATCTCTCGATTCACATTTTAACCATCCATACATATATATTTTAAAATTTTTTCTGTACCTGCAAAGTAGCGTTCCGTCTTTTAAAGTTTCGAAAAAATTATCCATGTCTCCGGAAACGTCGATATTTTCACTCGTTATCATTTTTATCCATTCTAAACATTCTTGAGCCAATGCTTCGCTGTATTTTGCATTCACCTGGAAAAATCGGGAAAATTTATTTTTTAATGATTTTTTAACTTCTCCGATTTCCGTCATTTTTTTTTTATTTTAAAATTTCGTTTCCGTTTCTTTTTCCCCCTACGATTAAATTCTTACGACTAACCGTACCGAATGTAAACTTATTAGAAACCGTGACAAACAAATTTATCCCTTTTTAGATAAAAAGGTATAATAATGCCTGATAATAGAGTAAAATGATAAAAAAAAAATTTTTTTAAAAGTTCGATAGTAAATATTTACTTATGAATTATTTTGCGTACTCGAATTCTATCACGAATATTTTTTTTTTTTTTTTTTTTAACTAAAAAACGTAATTTACAAAATCATTATTATTATTGTTTTCTTTCTTTCAAAATAAAAAAAACGACCCGGGGAATTTCAAGTACGAAAATATAAAAAAAAATTAAACTTGCTTCTCGCAAGGGCAAAGCAAACAACCTATTAGAGTAGAATTTCTGAAATTTAAAACTCTCTGAGGTAATAAAATTCATATTTTTGCAAATACTAAAAAAAAAAAAAATCTCATGGAAAACCTTTCAGGTTCGTTTTTGAAACGAATAATTTTCTTTTGCACCGCTGCATAATCATTTCCACAATTTTCGCGGTGCTCGAGAATTAATTCAAAGTTTCCTAACCGAATTTTTTTCATTTTTTGAAAAATGAATCCGCGAAAAAAATCCACGGTTCCAAGCCTTGTTTGAGTCCTGCTAATAATAATAATAATAATAATTATTTACATCGAAATCATGGGTACCTTCGCCGAAGGTAATTCCTAATGAAGAATTATATTACTACTCCAACCTAAACTTCCGTCGTCTCCCCTCCTCTCTAATGTTCTTTTGATTTACAATGGAAAAACTATGATGATGATGATGATGATGATGATGATGATGATAACATTCATCCACATCCAAATTTAAAACATTTATCACGTGATAAATTACGATTTATTTTTTTAGGTAGGAACGACGTAGGAAAACAACGTGCAAATCGATCAGTGTGTTTATAAAAAAAAAAAATGATGATGATGATTTATTCTTTTATTCCGGGGTGTAGGCCATACCTAAAACCTTGACTTACGTTTTCGAAACCGCTCGCTCACTTATTCCTCTCATTCCTTTTTTTCCTTATTTTTTTTCTTTTTGGATTCGAAATTTCCAGTTAATCAAAGCTTGGTTGATTTTGCTAGAATTTTGACCTTCATTTTTCTATTTTCAATAAAATATTTTTATTAATAAAATCAATCATCTCGCCTTTGATAAAAATAATATTTTATATTAAAATTTTTCTACGAAATAAATAATTTATTATTATAAATAATAATAATAATAATAATAATAATAATAGCAGTAAATTTCCAGTTTTATTATCAAAAACAAACCAACCGTAAATCTAACTGTTTTCATTAAGAAAAAAAAAAAAAAAAAAGAAATAGACGCCTTAACAAAATATATTAAAATATTTCCTCCTC